AGTGAATCTTGAAGTCGTAATTCGAAGCTCTGCTATTCGATGTTGGGATGAATCTCCACGGAACGCCGATATATGTCTTTCATGCGAACTGAATTCCATCGCAGAACTCTCAATTCAAGACCTGAGGTGCCGCGTTCCACAAATTTCGCAGTAGACTTCTTCCCCAGTGGCAAGGCACCGGTTACAAGCTGCGCACTCTCTGCTTGCTGATCACGTGATCTGTGAAAGTTCACTCGATCGATCGCATCACTGTCTGGTGTGTCAGCAGTTTAACCGTGGGGATCACAGTGAAACAATCAATCGACCCAAGGCTTCCACGTAATTCACCAGTTCCACGGAATACTCAACACAAAACAAGGAAACGCATGACTTCAAACTGAAAAGCACAAAGTTGCATCGCATCGATTGTCAGATTCGTTTAACACCTTGTTGATTTTAGAAGGACATCGTGCAAGTCAAAAATAACAGAATGGTCAGAGACGCTAGTGAGTTTATTAGTGCACTGTAGATGATGGCCATAATACAATTCAGAAGATATATGCACTAATAAAAGTTCATATAGTTGACAATGGTTAGATGCCACATGTATAAAAGTAAATACAATGCAAAATGGGAGCAAGTCAAAAGAAGAACTTATCGTCTGTGAGAGTTCTTTGGTGAAATTCCGGACGGCGGAAACGTGTTCTCGCCGCAGTGCGACTGCTACATGTGTTCCATAGTTGTCTTTGGAATTGTGGAGACTGGTTGACTTCCGCACCCTGCGCGCGCGCCCGAGTCTGTGTGCTGACTGCGTTCGGTTTCCCTATATGTAGGTCCGTTTGCGAGTACGTGGGTGTGTCAGCACATGAGTTGTCGCTACGCTCACTAGACGGCACAGCCAATCGATGTCCGATGAGTCACCTTAATGTGATGTGGTTTGCGCAATCGTTGACATCCAGTAGTGAGTTCTTAATGTGATGTGGTTGCGCAATCGTTGACATCCAGTAGTGAGTTGGTAAGCGGTTATATCCTCATTTCGATCCAAATTGCCAAGAGTACATGTACGGCTCTCTGAAATATCTGGTGGTCACAGCCTCGCCCCCCCAAAGACATAGACCGAACAGTTGAAGGGCTGTTCTGTCGAATAGTGGAGTGCACATTTAAGAATCTCGGTACAAATGTACACAACATAATCGTCAACTTCTTCTTCAGTCAGGTTGAAGCATGGCGACCGAACACAGAACGAAGATATCTGTTCACCACCACCCACCAGGGCAGATGGAGCGCAGGCGGTACACGCAGGCTCCGTAGCTTCCAGTGGGCTGAGTATCCAGTCGGAACACGAAGGCAGACCCTTTATGCTGCCGGTTACCTGGTCATCCGTGCCATCTTCCTAGTGCAATGTCGATTCGCTTACTTTTTGTCGCTCACTTCTACCGATTGAATCTCATATAACATTAAATGTGTCTTCACCTGAGGATCACATTCCAATATCAATTTGTTCTACAACCTTTCTTCCGATGTCATAATACCAGAATGTTCAAACAACTGAGTGAGCACAAGAATCAGGGGCTGATGAGGGGCGTGAATTGTTGCTTAGGCTTTATTACCAAATTTGCACGCACCAATTCGTCTATCGTTAATTCATTCAGTGCATAGGTGGTAAAGGGTCGAGATGGTTCAGTGATTAGAGCGCGAATTTAATGACCGGAAGGTCCATGCTTCGAACCCGACCTCTGTATCTGGACTTCCCCCGTCTAAACTTGGGCAAACTGGCAGTATCCCGGCCCTCGTGCTTCCTTCGAGTGGCATGGCAGCTAGGCATCAAAAGGGTACATTACAGCTGAACAATCGATGGGAATCAATACCCTAAAGAGCACTTAAAACCTTCAAGGAGGCATCTTATCCACCTGGACCGAATGCCCCGAGCCAATTGCTCACCTTGAATGCACAAGCAATACAGTAGGGATATTTAATTGATCGACGACTGCCCATTTCACTGGAAAACTCCTGCTGCAAAACAGATTATTTAGAAGCCCTCTCTGTCGTGCAGAACCGCAAAACCAATTACCTGTAATACACAACTATTCTAGTATTACACTTGACCAGGTTGCTTCAAGTTTTATCCTGATCACCCAAATTTTTTCGTCCAATTATTCTCCAAGATTCTACAAAATGAAATGAAACACGTATATTTTGTAATGTACTACTCATAAGGTTGCTGAAAATTCGTCGACAGCCCACGACCGGCTTCGCCTTTCTTGCAGCTCATCAGGTAGGCGCAGTCCCCGGATTTCCGTCAACCTTATGTTCTACATGAAATCAAATGCACGAAATTAGCGAAATACACTCATTTGCAAACTAATTTGGTTTTTCGGGAGACTCACTTGGAACCCAGCTGGGCCTGGAATCACCACAAACGGAAGATTTAACTGGGTTCCAGGCAAGACCCTCGAAAAAAACAAATTAGTCTGCAGATGAGTGTTTTGCGCTCAAATGAAACACACTCTGATAGAGTATCTGTGACACGGTTATCGATTCATTTCCTGGTGCGTTTGCTAGTCTGTAGGGCTTTCATATGTGACCCAGTTCATTGAAGTTACACCACGCACACTCCTGTGGCAAACAGGCATTCAGGACGCTCTAGAACCATTCCGGCTGACAGAGGGATATCCGTATGCTGGGGAAGCGAAACAAAAAGGTGATTAATACAAGAAAACGATGCATGCCTCCACCGGCTCTTCGAAATTCACGAGAGATAGGATACAAGGAGGCTAGGCACAAGAGACGTCAGACGCATCTGGAATGTTGTAGTCACTCCCTTTAATTCAACGAGTTCAGGGATTCGATCGCTGTACAGTCTTCTCAAAATACCCTCTAAGGATGTGACCTTGAAAATCACTCTAGCTGTTACTACGCCCCCTTGCCAGTCATGTTAGATCCTACGCGTATGCCACCACAGTATATGTATCGTTGAACTCATAGAAGACGTTAGTTTGATTCCAAAATACATGCGTTCCTTCGACGACCCTTCTCTTTCACGAATATACCACCTACAAGAACAGTAAAATTTTAGCGAATATACACTCATTCGCAAACGAATTTTTTTTTCGATAGACTCACTTGGAAACCTGTTGAATCTCTCGATTGTTATGTTCTCAGGTGCCTACCTGATGAGCCTCAAAAAGGGCAAAACTGGTCGTGGGGTGTCGACGGATTTTCAGCCACCTTATGAGTAGTACATTACAAAGAGTAAACTTTATTCGTGATTATTCTGATTTGTCGCAATTCCAACTGTCCCTTAAGAGAACTGTGTCTTGGATGTGAAATTTACCTGCAACCAAGCTTTTTTTACTGCCCGGCTGATTAAGTGTCTAGGTGATTGCCGTTGTGTCCGCTATTGAGCGAATTTCCACCTGCACGGTCAAAAGCGGGTATTCCTGTGATGATCTTTTTCCGGTAGCATCCACTGAGGAGGAACTCAACTGTGTCTTCAGTGGCTTTCACACGAGGCTCATTCATAAATCTGTTTCACGTGCGAATGAGAAAAAGACCATTTGTTTCATTTAGTGATTGTTTCTTCAAAACGGGATTTCTCAGTGGTTAGAGTGCGAATTTACTGACCATAAGGCCCGTGGTTCGAACCCGACTCCCTGCATGCCGACTTCTCCCCTACTAGGCTTGGGCAATCTGTCAGTGTTCCAGTCCTCGTGCTTCCTTCGGGTGGCATGGCAGCTAGACACTGGAAGTACCTTACATCAGAACGGTTTCCCGGTTAATCTGAATCCTCCTTGCGAAGCCACTAACAAAGCGTCGTCCGCCCGCAAAGCAGGAAGGAGGGTGACAATGGAACCCTAGTCTCCCCAAAGGTATTTCTCACCCTTCTAATTTTATAACGTCGGAAGAGCTACAGAGATGTCACACCGCTTATTCAGAATCATACAGAAAATGAAAAACTACAAAAACTACTCGAAGAACTGGAAAACTCCGCATTATTCGGGCGGAACCACCTCAAAATTAGATCCAAAACATATTTAGCTGAAGAAAAACTTGACTTTAATGGATGGAACTGGTATTCACAGCTTTTTCACTAAACTGAATGATCGTAGAAAATTTACTGCGTAGCGAGATTGAATTCGGGGTGTCTAGATGATGACAGTGGATAAGATGAGAATATACGCTTCCCACATGTTAGAAGTTGCACATGTTTGCACGATTTTTGGAATTGGCATTCGCATCAGTCTCGTGTGGACAGTCTTCTCCCTGTGGGGTACACACCAAAGAGCGGAAGTACTGGATTTGAGTTTCGCTCTTGGTACACGTCACCAGCTGTGCATATCCTTGGGTATCCTGGAGTATGAAACTCGGAAATATGGCATATAAAGTGAGTTAGCATCACTACTCTACCTGATTTAGTGTACCCGAGCGGGTGAACATATTTGCGCCTGAGAGATTTGATTGTCCAATGGCTGTCCTGCTTATGTCAATCGACCGACCATCCTGTCAGGACCCCCAAATGAATCAGCGCCATGGACGCTTGAATGCCTTTCAGATGTGACGATTCATTGCGTCCGGCGTGCGCTAATGGATCGATGGTGATACAGTGATCCATCATGTCTGTAGTTAAGGTCCTGTTACAGCAGAGGATTTGCACAGCCAATGAGCCCTGATGAGACCAAATTTCCAGTTTAGTGGGCTCACTAGAATAACTTTGCCAAAGCTGAAAGATAACCCTTTAAACGAGAGTGATGCGGATGCAACTTGGAGCACCACACCTCTCTTTCATAATTAACACTAACAAAAACTCGAAACATCTTGCAACCACCCTGGTGTTAAAAATTTTAAAGTAACTTCAGACTACTCATTAGTAGTCACATTCCTAACAAGCTTTGACTCACGCAGCAAGTGAACAGAAGCCTACTTGGAAACAGTTTTCCGTATTTTTTTCCAACCGAGGCCCCACAATTTGATAAGCGTGCGCTCCACCTTTCAGTTTGTACCGTGTGACGTTCTTCTACAGATCGAAGGCTGCTAAACTGGCCAGTGTTCCCGAGAAGCCAATGGAACCAAAAGCAATGACAATCGAGCAGTTGAAAGCCTATCTTGAGGAGTGCCTTCAGTCCCCGGACGGCCAGATGGAAGAACAGTTTTCCGTAAGTCTACCCACGTCAAAAACATGCTGTTTCTGAATAGCGGAGTGCTTGTAAGAGGTGAACGAAGCGTTCGTGAAAGTGGGCATGGACTAAACACATTTACTTGTTAACCTAGAGCAAATGACATTCCAGCGCCTCCCTCTAAATAGCTCATCCAAGTAATTTTATGGGGTGGCCTGATACCACGCAGCCTAAATACGTATACCTGACTAGACGGCAAACCAGTATTCCGATGGTGTTTCTTAGTATTTTGGGTTTTACCTTCGTTTTTACATCCCACAGCCGAGGTTCTTCCCTACTGACCAATCCTCAGACCGCAGACTTTCTGGGGTTGGGATAATTCACGTGGTTGGCGAAAAGTGTTAAGCTATGACACCGCCTCTTTTCTTCTCACCAAATAAAATTAGTTACATAAGGTGAAGTGGGTATCCAGTATTGTCAACGATCATGATAAGGGCTAGGATGGTGATCATGGCAACAACGAAAACTGACAGATTCTGGAACAGCGACATTGGTCTCAGCAACCAGCAATGGTTGGTTCCTTGATACGGAAGCTACCTTTGATCCAGTGGACCTACGGGCAGTATGACAGTGTCTGTGGAGCAAATGTGTTACTCATTAATTGTTGACCCTTCTTAAGGCTTTGTACGCAAATTCCCGTGGCTATGTGGGGGTCAACGGGGAGCTCTTACCTGAGTTCACCACATGAAAAGGTGTCAGACAGGACTGTCGTCTTTCACCTTTCCTCTTCAACTCCTTCGTTGATACGATCATGGAAAACTTACTACCAGCCGCTACTACCTATGGAGTCGAAGTGATCCCTGGGCGTCCGCTCACAGATATCAATCTCTTCTTGGATCCGACCTCGTGGTAATGCAAACAATATCAAACTATCTAAATAATTTCGCCTCACGGTTAGGCATGCGCTTCACACCTGCAAAGTGTAAAGTGCTACTGCAGGACTGGGTGGGCTCATGCTTGCGGATGAACCGATTGAGGTGGAAGACAAATTTGTTGCAGCTGTATCAATCCCGTTGGTCTGGCGAAAGATGATATTTCCATCCGGATTGGGAAGGCCAGAGAGGCTTTTGTGAAAATTAGTCATCTGTGACGTAGGCGTGACAGCTTATCCGTCAAAAGTCAAGTTCACAATGCTGCGGTGTGCTACATACTACTATACGGATCAGAAACCTGGCCACTGCGCGCTGAGGACGTCAAAAGGTTTTCAGTTTTTTGTCATCGATTTCTCCGAATCATTGGCCGAGTCTGGTAGGAACACCGGATCAGCAACGCTGAAGTACGTCGAAGAGTTTTCGGAAGAAATAAATCGCCCATGATATATGAACTGATCAATCTCCACAGGTTGCGCTGGCTTGGTCACGTGCTCCGTATGTTATTCGACCGACTTCCTCGAAGGGCTCTTTTTGCGCAACCACTTGAAGGGTGGAAACGACCCAGGGGAGGTCAAACAGCCATTATTAGCAAACTCACTTGCGCTGGTCACTGCCGTCTTCCTGGATGGGGACCTCGAAACGGGCCACACCAATGGTCATTGACACAGTCAGAAAGGGCCCAGTCATGCCCCCAGTCGGTGCTTGTGCATCGAAACTATTGGCTTCAGTGCAAAGCCCCAACCCCCAACTTATCAGTCCTACATTTACGCATCAATTAATCAGCTCCCGCGTTCACTGCGCAGCTACCTACCCACCCCAAATCACCGGTGAATGAAACTACGGCAGCTACAACCACTATACGACAGGTACGCGGTTCTTACATCTGAAAATAATGATGATGATGTTTGATTGTTATTCCTAACTTTCTATTCAAATAAGGAAGAAAAGTTTATCAACAACTGCCTTGCAGTAGAGAGTTGCGAATTTTTCCGTCCGGTGTGATTTTGCTAACTCATCAAGGGTTTACTGTTTTGAATTCGCTACTGATTCATTTGGAACGTTACGGCTACATTTCCTTGGTGCCAGTGAGCAACAGTTTCATCGAATCGTGATGACGGAACATATGACCCATTTTCAGCTTGATTTCGTACTTCACGAGTATCCCGGTTCCTGACAACCTTGTGACAGCTGCTGGACAAGTCTGCAGGGTCAAGTACGAATTGTCGGCCGCGTTTTATTTCCGATGTAACTGTTACTTGCATAGGTGTAATGTACTACTCACAAGGTTACTGAAAACCTTTGGATAACTCACGACAGGTTTCGCTCTTCCACTTCAGGCTGCCTCACCAAGTGAATGCAGTCTACAACATTTCACCAACTTTCCTTTGGATAAATCACGACAGGTTTCGCTCTTCCACTTCGGGCTGCCTCACTAAGTGAACGCAGTCTCCAACATTTCACCAACTTTATGTTGTACATGAACCCAAATCACACGAAATTTGATTTATAGGCTCATCTGCACACCAATTTGATTTTGACAGGACAGTCACTCGGTAACCAGTTGGACCTCTCGTTTATGATATTCCTAAACCATTTCGTAGTGCTTCATAGGGATAAATATATTGTTTTTGTTGGCACTCTACTGCCCATTTTCTTTCCAATCTCGAACACCAACGCATTAGTCAGCATGTTTACGATTTTACGGAATTTCACTCCCAGAAGGGTGGGTTGGCCTGTCTAGCTTATGAATACAACTCACTAAGTACAAGTCTGAGTACTGAGATCGTTGATTGGGTGAGCCTAAGTTCAGTCTTCCTACAGGTTTGATCCAACCACTTGTGAAGATATACTGACATGCTTTGCGTTGGGTGATATGTATGTATTGACTAGACCCTCAAGGCGGCTGTACTAATCAATACTAAATCAATAACGTTGCATGGCAGGAGCGGTCTCGAATCATATCGGAGTGGGTAGATGTGGAAAGAATATCTTACCGATAACTTGACATCCTCCCTACCAGGAATTCGAAATCAAGACAAGATTTATCTTTCGGGCTACTGTTCATGATCTAGGCCCCCATGATTCGTTGTTAGTTTTCCACGACAGACTGATTATTACTGAATAATAATCAGTAAACACGTGACTGCGAAATGCTTGCATCGGGTGTCCGTTTGTTGCTTTCAGATTCATTCTGGAGGTGTTTTTTTTTGTTTAAGAGAATGAACCCTATTTACCGTAGGTACTACTTTTCTTCGTTTGAAATATCGATTTCCTCGGTTTTTCATGTGGACAGGAATTACGCAAGGAGGCTGCGCTGAAAGAATCTGCCGAAAACTTGACCACTAATTACGGTACTGACCCGAATAACAAAGATTTGAATCGTTTCCAGGATATTATACCATGTAAGTTTTGAAGTCGCTTCAAGTTGCACCTACTGGCATTTTTGAACACGCTTTTACATTAGAGGCTGACAGGCCTCAAACTGCCTACTTTCGTGTATGATTTGAGGGCAAAGTTTATATACCAAGCGTACTAGGTCATCGGCCCGGATTCGAATCAATGCACCACAAATCCACTAGGTTAATAGTGTGATTGAAGGTCTTGCAAGTGAAGCCAACTTATGCTAAAAAGTCAAGAACCACTGTACAGCTGTTTCATCCTTATTGGGGATCATCAGCAGTGAGCGTGTCTCACAGAACTAAAGAGAGTTTCAGGTCCGTGAACTTCTGGCTTGTAGTTAAGGCCTAGAACCTTCGGTCAAGATTGGTCGATCAGCAGTGTGATTCACTCACACTTGGAGCCGCTCATACATCAGTCAATGAAATTACGCGACGTGCCCAGGTGTTGTCTGGCTCCTCGAGGGATGACTTCCAATAAGGAAGGACTAGATCAGCTGGGTGTCCAGTGAACTTGATTTCATAAGCAATCACGTACGCATAGTAAAACGAAAGGGGAAGCATCGTTGAACGTGAGTGGAATTGGTCAAATTAAGATTTCGCCGTCTATTCTACTTCGATTACTGATGCCTGAGAAACAAATACGGCAGCAATATTCTCATCTGACCACATCTATTTCATAATCACAGCTTTCCTCACATTCTAAACGGACCATGAACAAAATACCTATCTTGCAAAACCCCTAAAACTGCAAACAAAAAGTTGTCCAGTGGGTTTCAAGCGTGTGTCACGCTGCCTGATTGGGAAGTCATGACTGGCGGGTCAATCGATCGTCACAACCGGGACAGTTACTGGGTCGTCGTTCGATGAGTCGGGCACGCCTGTTCAGATGTGAAGTTCAGATTCGTCCAACGCGCGTTGACGGAGTAGTGGTTACACGCTCGTCTCGCATATCATATGTCCGGGGTTCAAATCCCGACACGGTCACCGGATATGCACTGCTGATGAGCTCTGATAAGAGCGAAACTCGAGTCCAGTGCTTCCGTTTGGTGTGGACCCACCGGAATAATTACGCCAGAGCGGGAGGACGACCGTTCAAACGAGAGTGATGTGACTGTGAACAAACCACCTATCCCGCAAAACCACAAAAGATGCGCTCCTAATTGAGAAATCAGAACTACGGGGAACTATGTCTCTCCATAAGTTATACACATACACATCAGATGGTTCCGCCTGATGAGAACCTTCCACTCTCAGGCAGTCGTTGATTCCGACACACTGGATACTTTGAGTAGACCAATGACACTTTAAAACAGACCGAACAATTTGGGCAAATTCGTCGGTACTACCTGATTACACAAACTATTTTCAGAGGTTACACAAACTCGTGTAGACCGAATATAGCCTTGAGTCTCACTGATAGGACCTCGTTTAGGGAACACCCAAGAGCCGATGAAAAGGCTGGGGTGGGATGGTTCAGTGGACAGAGCAGGAATTTACTAACCGGAAGGTCCGTGGTTCGACCCAACCTCTGTATCTCAACTTCCTCTATGTAGGCTTAGGTAATTTGGCAGTATCCCAGCCCTCGTGCTTCCTTCGAGTGGCATGGCAGTTAGGCGCCAAAGGGGTGCTACAGATGAACGATTTTTCTGTAGTAAGAAGGCCGATGATGGTTTAAATCTGAACGCGATATGGTGTCACGTGTGATCGGCGCTCTCGGGTACTGTTCTGTTTTGCTGCCTTCCCAGCTAGCACACACGGTAACGACTTCACCCAGTTCCACTTCGCAATCCGGTTAATGAAGGCAGTTTGTCAATGCCGACATGAACCACCAGAACTCGTCCAAAGTTTCGTTAGTTCCCATTGCACATACAGGTAGGACGAAGCACCATGCATTTAAAAGATTCCATTCAGGGTGAGGGCTCGTCAAGACACAAATTTTCTAAACTTAAGAGAGAAAAAATGAGATAATAGGTCTGGTGGAATAGATTCCAGATAAATCAACGGGAGGGCCTTCTTAAGTAGGCGAATCGCTTTCGGCCAATACAATCATTTTCAAATCAATCTGGATTTCACTGGAGACTCAAATGAACCTCTCGTTTTCTTTATGAAAATATACTGCGATATTTCGAATATCGTATCAGCTGAAGCATGAGGCCGCATTTGTGCAGCACATTCATTTTGTCAAAACCGTAGACGAGAGATACACTTGAGTCTGCTGTGAAAACCAAACCGGTTTGCAAATGAGTGTATTTCTCGAAAACAGTGCAATTTGGGTTCAAGTAGAACATAAGGTTGACGGAAACTCGGGAACTGTGCCTACCTGATCAGCCCCAAGAAGAGCGAAAAGCGGTCGTGGACTGCCGGAGAGTTTTCAGCAACCTTGTGAGTAGTTTCCTAGGTGAACCACTGTTTGTTGAAAATATGCACCGGAACCACATCAAGTTTTGTGACTCATTTGAAAACCTGTCGTAATGATGTCACTGATCAATGAAGGAACGCGTGTACGAAAGCCCGTAGTTTCCTGACTGTTTCATCAGCGGTGGCACATGAGTTTCACCTTCCGCTGTCCCCTGGAGCTGAGACACACATACACACGGTTTACTTAGTACCAGGTCAACTTGTGGTGGATACTTCTAAGTGGGACGACAAGCGAATAATTTAACCACTTTTAAACAAAAGCCTCATGTTCGCAGTTTATGAGAAAGAAATGGTTTTCTCTGGGTATGTTGCAGTGGTCCGAGTTTTGTACTTGTCGGGCCCAGACATGGAAAAATTACATGTGCAGGGAGTGACACATCCCCAAGGTCACCATCGGTACGACACGTTTCGGAAAGCAGGTGCGTTGGTGGAGCGCACCAAACACGGATTAGCAACATAAGACCAGTGGTGTGGGGCTGAAATTGTGCACGACCGGAACACC